GGGCAAAGGGGCCTTGGTGGGGATCTCAAGATGAGATAGCCCAGGGTCCCAAAAGAGCTGCCCAAGTGTCTTTATAGAGAAAAATGAAATGATGTCATCTGAGGGAAAATGGACAGAACTGGAGATCACCATGTTAAGTAGGCCAGGCTCCAAAAGATAGACACCACATCCTGTGATATGTGTGGAGGGGGGCAGGGAGAGAAATGAAATCAGAATGGGGAGGAGCACTGACAGGGAGGAACACTGACCAGCAAGTGGAGAGGGATGGGAGAGGGTGACGAGCTAACACCAACAAGGTGCAGCAATGTACGCCTATGAGCACATAACGGAGTCCATTATTAAAGAGACACGCAGACACAGACACACATACAAACACACAGAGACACACATGAATGTATGCAGACATACATATATACATACACACACACACACAGAGACACAGGCACACACATATATATACAGACACATAGGCGCAAGCACTCAGTCATACATAAACACATACACACATGCACACACGTTTCATCCATGTACACATAAATACAGAGACATACACACATGGACACACATAAACATGCACACACACATACATACATGTACAAAGACATACACATAAGTAGACAGACACATCTAGACACACATATGCATGCACATAGACACACATGCACATACACACATAAACACAGATACACACATATATACAGACAGACACACATATAGACATACACATACACACATGCACACACAGATACACATAGACACATACATACACACACATAAACACACACGTACCAAAAGCCATGCCCCACAGGGGCAGTCCCAGGAAACCATGCACTGACCATGGTCACAGGAACAGCATTGTGTGGCCATAAGCCACAGCTGCCGGAGCCCTGGAAGCTGGGGGAGGCAGGAGCAGTCCTCTCTGGAGCCCTGGGAGGGACACAGTCCAGGTGAAACCTTCTGGGTCTAGAGTGTGGGAGAACTGATGCTCTTATATTGAGCCACTCGGGTGGTGTGGCTCAGTGACAGGAACTCACACAAAGCAGGACAACATATCTCACACGCATTCAGCCAAGGGACCAAGCAGGATGGAGCAAAGAGAGTAAGAAGAGCTTCCACACAGGGTGTCCTACTCTGCACCTCTGCCACCTCCCCACGTCCCCTCCCAGGCCACTATAGCCCAAGCCACATCTGTGGATGTCCCCAAAGCTGCAAAGCTTCTGGGTTTTGGACTTTATCAGGACCAGAGAAGCCTGGTTGGCCTGTCTGCCAACTCCCTGGGCTCGGCCTCTTTTTGCGTCTGTGGTGGGTGGCATTTCAGGAGTCCAGGAAAGGAAGTCAAAGGGATGGATGTAGGGCCTGTCCCCAAGGCTACAGATAAAGAATGTGGTTACTTGCAGAAGCCTGAGGGCCTAGTCCAAAGGGCATAGAACTGAGGAAGCCTAGACAGGAAGTCCAAGAAAGGGCACTGACATTGGTGGGGTGGGGGGTGAAGGAGCAAGGGGATAAGGGGCTGCAGGGTTGGGGTGCTGGACAGCTTCAGCTGTCTTCTTGATGCACCCAGGAAGAGGGAACTTCAACTGAGGCATTTCCTCTATTGGATTGGCCTGTGAGGCATTTTCTTAATGGCTAATTGATATGGAAGGACCCAGTCCACAGTAGTCCTGGGTAATATGAGAAGGCAGACTCAGCACAGGCCAGAGGAGCAAGCCAGTCGGTAGCATTTCCTCTGCACTTCAGTTCTTCCCCAAGTTGGTTTTGGTGTTTCATCACAGCAACAGAAAGGGAACTGGGGCAGGGGTGGAACCGAAGGAGGGTCATGTGTGTGTGGCCTGCCAGGCCCCCTGCAGTGGACTTCCCTGTCCTTTCTTGGGTTACATGCTTCCAGGGGGACTGACCTCTCTACCTTACTTCTCCCCTCTCCCGCCACACATACAAACACACACACACACACACACACACACACACACACAAAGACAGAAGCACCTAAGACAATGGATGGTATTTTAGGGGGAGGTGACTCCGGGAAGTTGGAACAGAGCAGATGTGCCCCAGGGTTGGGACAACTGGGCTCAGAGTCACTGACAGTCCTCAGAGGAGCCTGAAGAATCTGCCTCCCACGTCTCCCTCTGTTGGTCCAGTTCTGTCTCCCACATCCCCTTCCATGGATCCAGGCTTCCAGACACACTGGCACACGCCCATGTTAACTTCCCCATCTCCCACTCTTTGGGAAGAGCCCATGGAGGAGCTCAGGGGCCAACTGGGGCCCAGATGCAGCTGCGACTACATTCACAGACTCACCAGATAGATCTGTGTCCAGAGAGGGTATGTGATGCCACTGTCAGCTGCCCACTATGCACGGACACACATGCCTGGTGTGCTCTGTGACTGAGGCAGGCCTCTCCAGCAACCTGATGGGAAGACAACATCTGGCTTCCCAATGACCTTAACCTTGATAAGACCAGGGTGCAGAGCTACCAGGGACCATCCTAGGAAACAGCCTCACCCAGAGAGAAGCAGACACAAAGAGCAGCAAGTCACAGAGACACCTGACTGTGACTTTACTGCCTGGATCCAGCCATACCTGAAGCCATTGGAAACACTGAATTTTCCTTCTCTTTGCGATTGCCATTTATATGGTTGACAGTCAGAGGATCCGTGGTTGGCATCAGCCCCTGCCATGTGTTGAAGGCAACATCCACATCCCTTTTGTTTAATCCCCTATGCAGGAGCTGGATGGAGCTGGGAGCAGAGGGAGGGTATGGCCCTACTTGAAAGGTGATGGTTATTTTTCTCCCCTGCCAAGGGAATGGCTGTCCATGAAGTATTTGCTGAAGGAGAGTGCCCCTCAGACCCCCTCCCTGTCCTGTGAGAGAGCTGCCCTCTGCCTGACTCTGGAAATCCCCTAGATTGTTCGAACCCTTTCCTGGTACATCGTTTATGGTTTCTATGGAAATGGTCCAGGGCGGAAGAGGAAGAATATTCTGCCCCAGGAAAGCTAGCCAATGGCTGTATAGCTTAAGGTTCTGGAAATCAGCCCTAGATTGTTCAAACCTTTTCCTGGTACATCTGTTTATGGTTTCTATAGACATCCCCCGCTCTGTGGTTTTTGTGCTTAAAAACCCTGCATTTCCATGGCTCTGGGTCACAGTGCAGCTCCCGAGCCTGCCTGCGATCCCAGTCCGGTTGGTCAGTTTCAACAAAGCAGTTAAGTTCTCCTGAGTCTCAGTGTCCAAGTGGTCAATTCAGGAAATTTTTCAGACCCTGAACATTGCCATGCAAGGATGAGGACCTGAGTTCGAGCCCTAGCACCCATGTAAAAAGCCAGGCATGGTGGCTTGTACTTATAATCTAAGACCTGGGGAGGTGGAGACAGGTGGATCTCTGGGGTTCACTGGCCAACCAGCTAAGCTGAATCAGTAAACTTGAAAGACTCTCAAAAAGTTAGGTGAGCCAGGCTTGGTGGCACACACCTTTAATCCCAGCACTTGGGAGGCAGAGGCAGGCGAATCTCTGTGAGTTTGAGGCCAGCCTGGTCTACATAGAGGGTTCCAGGCCAGCCAGGGCTACATAGTGAGGCCCTGTCTCCAAAATCAAAAACAACATGGAAAGTGACAGAGGAAGACCTGGAGGCTGGCACACACACAAAGACAGGATTGAGGATTGTCTGTCCTAGTGTATCGCTTGACAGTGGAAGCTTGGTGCAGTGGGTCCCAAAGGAATGCTCCTGCATGCTTAAGGACAAAGGGTCCTTCTAGATCCCCTGAGGAAAGGGTTGGGAAGTGACAGACCTCTTCCTGTGAATCCTGAATGGCAGGCAGTCTCAGGTGTGTGGGGGGTGGGGGATTAAGAGGGCAAGCTCACCAAGAGGCTGAGCTCATCAGGCGTGGTGGTACGTACCTTTAATCCCAGCACTTGGGACACAGAAGTTAAGTGGATCTCTGTGAGATTTGAGGCCAGCCTGGTCTACATAGCAAGTTCCAGGTCAGCTGGGGCTACCGGGAGACTCTGTCTTAAAAAAAATAAATCAAAGAGGCTGAGCTCTGGAAATTCAAGGGTGGCGGGAGTCAGCAGAGGTCAGCCTGCAGCTGGACACCCAGCCAACGCCCTCTCTTGTCAGATGAGTCTTCTCCTGGGACCTGGGTCCCTCCTCAGCACCCTCCATGGACCTCATGAAACTGTGTGGGTCCAAAGATTGAAATTTCTAGATTAGGCCCTTCATTAACCATGGCTGGGCAGGGTGGTGGGCAGGGACAAGGTCTCCCGCAGCATCTTCATTTCCCCCTCCCCACACCATAAATCCACCCCAAGCCTGTGACATTTGCAGAGCGTATTTCCATGGGTCTCTATAATCCCTTCAGAATATTAAGGCTGCATTACTTTATCTTTGGCTACATTAACTTCAATTTTCCTTATGAGTAAGTATTTGGCTAAAAATTAATACAGTGAAGTTGAGAAGAATCTTACGATAGGAAAAAGACTAATTTCATCTTGGGCTGCTCGGATCCCGGAGTACACCGGGGTTAATGTAATTAACTTACAATTTGAGCCCGGGTTGTGTACATACACCGAATCTCCCCGCTGGAAACGAGATTAGATTTTATTACTCTATATATCCTGGTTATCTGCACCGAGCCTTCAATATTACTTCCCACGATGACTTTGAGGCTCCACTCCGCAGTGAAAACGCAGAACCAGCTGGTCCTGAGCCCGTGCCGTTTATTTAAGGATTTAATTAAATGCTGTAAATGGAGAGCTTCCCTGAATTAACATTTTAAATGTGACTTATTGCAGGTTTAATATTCTCTTAATGCTAGCCTGGGAAACTCCATCTCCAAGTTGTTGACGTTCAAATTGAATTCATTTGGGTGGCTCCAGGGGGACCCATTAATTAATCTAAACAACTAATGGGGATTGGTTCTGACTTTTGATGAAGATTATTTACTGAGACAATTTGCAATGAATAAAAGTCACAGTAGGCAAATGCTTAATTGAATTCAAAAAAGTCTCATTGTGTTTAATATCAGGGATGCGGTCTTGTGAGTAAGCTTTGAAATGGGGGAGCGAGGCGGATTGCTTCAATCTCCTTAGCCAGGCGCTAATAACAGAGGGAATGGGTAATTACATCTGCCTGGGTAATTTGCTCCCCTCGAAGGACAACAGGTCTGGCTGGCTAATCACTTCCTGGGAAAGAAATGTCTGAAGGCACACATTTACCCTTGGATGTTGGCCGGAGGTCACGCCCTGGTCCCAAAGCAAGGTGACCAATCAGCTCTGGGTCACAGAAAGGCCTGCTGTCACCCCTCACCCATGGTATCTGCCCACCTGAAGAAGTTCCTCTCCCCCACCCTACACCCCAAAGACTTCCCTGAGGCTATGTTGGCAGACTTTGGGAGAGGGAGGAGTCTCTGATGACGGTCCACTTGGATTCATCCCGGATGAACTCTCCTGTCCCTCTGTTTTCTCATTTCATCTTCTGGGTCAGCAGCCTGGGTCAGAGTTCTGCTTGAAGAAACGTGAAAGGTTCTAGAAGCAGGCATATCCAATCTGTAGCCTGGATAACTGTGAAGATAGCCCAACAGGAAACTGGCACTTGGTAGGTGACAACATCGTTTTGCAATGTTAAAAGGTCAGACACACCTGACGGAGCGCGAAAGCTGTTTGCAGAATCAGGTGGGGTTTACCTTCTGTCCCCTGCAGCCCACCCTCTATGGTACCCTGGCTTCTGAGCCCTGTCCCTCCTCCAGGTCCAGGGCAGACTCTGCTGAGTGCAGCCTCCTTGGGCTGAGATTCCCTGTGCCCCTCCATCTAGGTTTCTCAAAGTGTGGTTGTAGCTAGTTGCTAGTGATTTCCCACCCTGAGGTAAAGCTGGGCGGGTCTGTGTGGGGTGACAGATTGCCCATTGTTGACTGTGAAATAAGGCTTAGGGTCTGTCCTAGCTTGCTTTCTGTGGCTGTGATAAACACCGTGACCAAGAGCAACTTGCAGAGGAACGGCTTTATGTGGCTTACACGTTCAGGTCACTGTCCATCACTGAGGGAAGTCAGGCAGGAGCAGCAAGAGCTGAAGCAGAGACCATGGAGGAACTCTGCTTACTGACTTGCTCCCACTGGCTTGCCTAGCTTTCTTACAGAGCCCAGGCCACCTGCCTAGGGATGGCACCACCCACAGCAAACCAGGCTCTCCTACATCAATGTATAATTAAGAAAATACCTCACAGATATGGCCATGGGTCAATCTGATTCTGGAAATTCTTCAGTTGAGGTCCCCTCTCCCCAGGGGACTCTAGGTTTGTGTCAGGTTGACAGTTGAAGCTAACTAT